TCCCTCTTCTTCACTGATTTCAATCTTAATAAAATTTATAATGTAATGAGAAGTCGTCTTTTAAAACAAACATGACAAAATTTATACATCCCAAAACACAGATCTGTAATTATTGACAAAATTTCTAAAAATATCTAAAAGCCATCCAGAGGGAATGAATTTGATGTGTGACCAAGCTGAATAAAACCGACTTGGGTTTGAAAGGAGGAAACAGAGGGCTACCTATTTTGTTTTAAAAAAGGTACAAATTTTCTTGACTGAATGCCAATAGAAATAAACATAAAACTGTACTTCTAGTATTGATGACCTTAGTGTATATAGTCTGTTACACAGAGTAAACCACACTATCACATTAATCATGCTCATTTATGTAAGAGCCTTATATAAGCCTGAAATTTTTAGTTTCATTTAGTTCTTTAAACCATAAGTCATATGGTTCTGAATGTAATTCTTTTAGGAATAATAAAAAGAGTAACTGTAATAAGCATTAACTTAAATGACACCAGAAAGACACAATCAGATAAATTCAGAATGTGGGACTTTCCAAGAGACAGTTGGCATGGACTTTTTTTTAGTTAATGTCATGGACTAACGAGATTATTCCATATTAATATAATGACATAAAACATGTGGTGTATTTCTTGAATGGATTCTAGATTTAAAAAAAAAAAAAAATCTATGAAAGATAGCTTGGAGGACAACCAATAACTATTACAGAATTATAGTTAATTTTCCTAGATCTGATTGATAATGGTTTAGGCTATAGAAGAGAATGTCCTTACAAGATGCATGATGGAGTACTCTGTCATTTACAATGACTGTGAGTTTCATATATTCAGAGAAAAAATACATGTGTATACTCATATATACACAACTATAAACAGATACATATATACACGTACATATACAGAGATAAAACTAATGTGTCAAAATATTAATTATTAGTAAATGAGATGAACAGTACTTGTGTTCAATCTCTCCATGTTTAAAAATGCTCAACATGAAAAGTTTGTGGGAAAAGTGTCACTTAACAGTATCACATATTTACTTCAAGGTGGCAACTTATTAAGTTTGGAAATATGTTAAGGACAGAGCTGAACAGTAAAAAAATAAATCACCAATATTAATAAAATTATAATTTCAAGACATTATCTTTATACTAACTGCTTATAGGTGTTGGTTCATTTATACGTAAATGGGATGGCAACCTGAGGACTGCCTATACTCAAAAACGTGCTACTGCTCAGGGTATCTGATCAAAAGTTTGATACCACTCTTCTATAAAACAAATGTATTTTTCAAGTCTCTAACCACCAAAAGGAGCTCTGATGGCACAGTGGTTAAAGCTTCAGCTCCTAACCCAAAGGTCTGCCGTTTGAACCACCAGCCGCTCCACGGGGAAAAAGATGAGGCAGTCTGCTTCCATAAAGATTTACAGCACTGAAGACCCTATGGGACAGCTGTACTCTGCCCTATAGACTCTCAATGAGTCAGAATCAACTCAATGGCAATGGGTGGGGTGGAACAAACACCAGAAGAGCATTAAAGCCCTTTAGCTCTAGTGGCTTACTGACTCTTAATAATTTAATATGCAACACTCATTAGAACTTCTAGGAGTCTAAAAGCAGCAGTAAACACACAATGACAGCAGTGGAAAGAGTTTCCAGAAGCTAGAAAGTCAGAAAATCAGTAAAGTACAACATGACAAGTTATCATCAATAAAAGGTTAAACTCTTCTCGAGAGAAATCTAAGACCTTAAATAATGAGATTTGAAATGCTCTAGTATTTTATAAGGAAAAAATATTTTGAAGCTAGAAAAACATCAGAAAAAAATATTAATTATAATATGCATTGTAATTTCAAAGGAAGACATACGGCAAAGAACACACGAAAATCGGGCATATTTACTTTAAAACCTGGGGATGGTGTGGGGCATGTTACTACAATCTAGGTACTTGACAAGAACACTTAATCGTATCATAATACTAAAGTAAACTGAACATAAGGCATTTGAGAAAAATATTTAGGTAAGATTCATCTATATATTTTATTCTAAGGGGCACAAGCAATTATCAAAAAAATGTTTTTTTTTTAATGGAAAGTGAAACAAGTGAAAAATGTTAACTATATTCTTATTATATACTCAAAAAGTGATACAGCCAGAAGTTACTGCAATTAGTAAATCAGAGAAAATAAACAAGGAAAATAGTGATTTTAACATATTAAGTAGACAAAAAATTGACCAATTATGCCAATGTTCCTCATTTAAGAGAAACTAATTTTTATAGTTGCATAGTTAAATCAAAGTAGGGCATCAGTTTGTCTTACATAAACCTGAAGCTCTGGACTAAAGATATTTTCAAATTGAATCACACATATATCAGATATGAAAGCTGTATCTATCAGAAAAGAATGACAGTGGTATATGAAGCATGTAAATGCAAACACTAGTAAGTATAAGATCCAAGTTGCAGAAGTTTTTAATGGAGAAGAATACCACTATGCACTTAAGGAGGACCCTCACTGAGTAAGGAAGATAGGTAACAGTGAAGGAGGGCCACAGAGTCAGAAAAGACTGTAAAATTATATTAAGTATATACTACAAAGCAATCCTAGTATGTTTAGGGTACTGATAGAACATCCAACTGGCCATGGAATCTATCTGCTACTTATGCTAGATAGTAACTTGTTGTTGTTATGTGCCGTCGAGTCGGCCCCGACTCATAGCGACCCCTCCTTGGGTTTCCGAGGCAGTATCACTACGGAAGTAGGATTGCCCAACCTTCCTTCCGAGGAGTGGCTGGTGTGTTTGAACCGTCAGCCTTCTGGTTAGCAGGCAAGTGTCTTAGCCACTATGCTACCAGAGCTCCCAGACAGTAACTAGACCAATTTTTTTCCATTTGTATGCCACTGTTTTATGCAAACAAACTTCAAACTTCATAAAGGAAATAAATTGGGAAATAAAATCTGCTTCACAAAAACTCACATTATAGTTAGTTCATTTTATAAATATAGGCAGTCCCCAGGTTCCAAACCAGGTCCGTTCCTGTGTGTGTCTTCAAGTAGAATTTGTAGGTAAGTTAGAACAGGTGCATACAGTTCTTACTTAGCTTTATTTCAGTATAAGAAAAGGCCTTTTCAATGATTTAAAAGTCTCATGTGGAGCAACTGAAGGTGATTGTGATGATGAATTTGTTGCAAGCAGGGGTACTTCAAAAGTTTCAACGTGAGGGCAAATTTACATAACATTAAAGGGCAAGTAGGGCTCCTCTGGACATAGGTAACTCAGGTACTACTTATAATTCTGTTACTTCAAATTAAAAAAAGCTGTATTTCAGACAAGTCTTTTTCTTAAAAGTGTAATACATCCTTTTCAGAATAAAATAATTTGTATTCCTAAATGGTCCTTTCCTATTTCCATCCTTGTCATTTGAAGGATTTTACTGAAATTTTTACATTTGGTATTTTCACTCTTAATAAAGGGCACAAACTCACATAGTGTACGTTTTAAGTATTCATCATTTAAATTTTTATGAGCTGAGTGATGTAACAGGTAAAGAAAAATGTATATGCTTTATAAGAAGGGTAAATTTCTTTTATCACTCTTTGACTTTTATATAGGGCAAAGGATATACTTGAAAATTTGTAATTGATTTTATAGCAAGAAAGATATCAAAATTAAAATGGGAAAAAGATTCATTTGCCACTGGTAAACTGTAATTTATCAAAAAACAAAGAAAAATACAGTATTAATTGGGAACCAGTCTACCAACTGAATTAAAATATTAAAATTGTAGAGGAAAAGATTACAATGCTTTTCAATGTTTATCAGAAAACAAATTTACTAAAAATTTAAACAATATGAAGTTCGGATTCAAATTCTGAAATTACTATTTAAGGCTAAAACACCCCAAACTCAGGAATACTCTAAACACTAGAGTAAAACACTTAAGTTGAAAATGGTCCTTTAAATTTGAAAGTATGAAACTAGTCACCATGAAAGAGATTTTTTGCCAAAGATGAAATAATTTGCCAAAAAGCAAACAAACAAGATGTCTGATTACAACAGTCTTAGAAAATACAAATTAAATTTCAGTTTATACTAAGAAACTTGTTAAATCTATTCATTTAATATAGTACTCAGGTCGATTTTTCAACTATTTATGTAATAGTGTTAAATAATAGTGTAGCATAACCAGGGAAATTATAAATATTTAAGATGAAAGGTTAAAATGTCAGTGGAACACATTTTTCATATCAATTAACAGAAATGTACTCAAATTCAAAAATTCTTCCGAATAAGCCAAAAATAATTCCATTAGATCAACTTTAAAACAAAGTGTAGTGCAAAAATCCAGTTTGAAAGATAACAATAAATATTAAACTTCTAAGGAAAGCCAGGTTACTATGAAATATCTACTTATATCCATTTTAATGAAGAATTAAAGGATACAATGTGTTAAAGACACATATTTAAAAGACAAGCAGTAGGGTAAGACAGATGAATCAAATTGTGTTTATATCTCAAGTAATGACAAGAGACTTCGAAAATTTAGTGTAATTCCTATTTTTTTTTTTTCCAGTTTAAATATTTCAATCCATTGCCTCTATCTTTGGTGTCACTGCCACCTATAAACACAGTATACAGCTTAGAAACCTAATTAGTTTGTTCAACTAGGAAAAAGCAAATTGACATGAATGTGATCCTATTTAATTTGTCACATGGTCCCATAATATTCTTAAGTATCACACCAAAACATAAATGTTTAATAGGGAAAGCTCATTTGCCATATAACCGCACCAAAAATTTAGCCACTGTACACTGGTGTGATGACAGCTAGTGGTGTGCAGAGGCTACAGAGTCATAATATACTTATGTTTAGCTGATAATTAGTAAAAGGAAGGTTCAGTTTAATGTGAAACTAAATCATGGACAAACTTTCTTCTTTTGCAGTTTACAAGAACAGTGTAATTATCTTAAACCCACACAAAACATTATGAAACATGGTAGTTGTTCATGATTAAAATAAAATAGTAACGTAAATTAAATTAAGTGTTAAATATATTCACATGATCACTACTGTGATTCAAAATGGCCACTAATGAAGTCACACATCAATATATGTACATAACATTTGTCACACAGCTTTTTATGAGTTTGACTTTTTTCAGACCAGTTAATTTTATAAGATAATCTTGTCAATTCTTTCATATCATGAAAGGAATTAAATGTTAGGAGTAGTTTCATTCCTCTGGGTGGAAGGTGGTGGGTAGGAGAACTCTAAAAAGTCAGTGCAAATTGAACAGAGTTCTGCCTTCTTGAATATTTAAATTTGCTGACCAAGATAGATTCCTGTAAGCTGAAGATAAACAAATCTTAAGATATTAAAGAATTTCATAATGTTGTCAGCTGCATTTGCAGATTTGCCAGAAAGAGGAATCCCATGTCCTATAGCAGTGCCTTCTGAGAGTATGGTTGTTGTGGCTGAGGTGGCTGTTGACTGCCCGTTGGCTGAGGCAGATTTGATGATGTCAAGTTATAGTTTGGCACCTGGGACATACTAGTTCCTGCATTCTGGTATATAGTGACATCAGAAGCAACAGCAGCAGCCGGAGGAGGAGGAGGACTATACACTGAAGCCTGGCTGGGATATGTGCTTCCTTGGACAGAGCTGACCATTGTGCTGTGGAGGGAGAAAGACACTCAATTAGATAAAGATTGAATGATAGAGATGTTTTAAAGATAAACAAGAAAGCTACTGATTATTCATTTATTTGATAAATATTTATTAAATGCTGATAATGTCTCCAAAACTTCTTTTAAACAGTACTAGGATACTGTTAAGAACGAGACAAAAGTCCTTAGCATCATAGAGGAAAAAGAAACCAATGAATTTATGTCAAGTGGTGGCATAGCAGTTAAGGCATTCAGCTGCTAACGAAATAGTTAGCGAATGGAGCCCACGAGCCACTCCACAGGAGAAAGATGATGCACTTTGCTTCCATAAACATTTACAGCCTTAGAAATCCTTTACAAGGCATTTCTACTCTGTCCTATAGGGTCACTATGTGTCACAATTGACTCAATGGCAGTAGGTTTGTTTTTTCACTTGATACTAACTGCTATGAAGTAAAATAAAGCACAATAGAGAAGGTGGAGAGTACCTGGACCAAAGGGACTCTAACGTAAACGGGGTGGTAGTAGACGGCCTCTCAGATAAAGCAACATTTTAAACAGACATTACAAAAATGAGGGAGTGAGCCTTATCAGTTACCCTGGAAAACCTATTTCAAGCAAAGAGAACAAACAGCAAGTACAGAAGCCTATGAGGAGAGACAATGCTACGCATGTTCAAGGAACAGCAAGGAGGTCGTGACCGGTGTGGCACAGTGAACAAAACTAAGGGGAGAAAGGGACATGATAAAGTCGCAGCATTAAGAGGGAGGGGGCCTTACAACGTATACTGCCTTGTATAGATCATAATAAAGATTCTAAGCTTATACCTTGAATAAGATAGAAAGACATTAGTTGGTTTTGAGAAGAGTGATGTGACTTATGTTTTAACAAGCTCATTTCAGGGATAAGAATAGAAGCAAAGATACTGATGGGAGGCAATTGCAATAGGTCAGATGAGAGCTGACATGCAGCTTAAGCCATTTTGGTAATGGTGGAAATGGTCAGACTATAGATATATTTTTGAAGGCAAAGCTATCAAAATTTGCTAATGGAGAAAGGAGTTTATGTCGTGAGGTTTTAGGACTTAATAACTGGTAGAATGGCAAAGTAACTGATAGAGTGCCCTTTCACTGCAAAAAAAGATTGCATGTAGAGCTATAGTAGGTTTAGGGAAGGAGAATCAAAGTACGGTTTTAGGCATGTCAAATGAGATGTCTATGAGATATACAAGAAAAGACAATGAATAGGCAGTCAGTTATTCAAACATGGAATCCAGTGGAGAGGTTATCACTGAAAATACAAATTAGGGTGCCATCAGCATAAAATGGTATTCAGAGTCAGTGGGCTGTAGGACATTCCTTCAGAATGAGGGCAAATAGAGAAGAAAAGCACACCATATACTGGGTGGCTACACCTCAAAGTCAGGAAGATTAAAAGGTGCTGGGCAAAGGAGAGTGAGAAGGAGTGTCAAAGAAAAATAAACCAAACTCACTGCTGTTGAGTCAGATCTGACTTACAGCAACCCCTCCTTGGGTATCCAAGGTGGTATCACTACAAAAGGAGCTCTGGTGGCATAGTGCCTAAGGCATTTGACAGCTAACCAGAAGGCTGGTGGTTCAAAGCCACCAGCCATTCCTCGGAAGGAAGACTGGGCAATCTACTTCCGTAGTGATACCGTCTCAGAAACCCATTGAGGGGTCCCTATGAGTCGGATCTGACACAATGGCAGTGAGTTTCATTTTTTTTTTTTAGTTGAGATCAAAGTCTGATAACCTCACTTCTTTTATTTTCCTGAAAATATAGACGTAAATAAGAGTTCTTCCATATGCTCCCACTACATTTATCAATGATCTATACCTAAGCTTATTGTTCCTTCCTGCTACTGATCAACTGTCAGTACTCCCATCTAAGGCCCCCTCCACTTGTCCACTGTTTTCATTTATAGAAAAACTCTTTCAGAGATGGTCTTCATATACTATCTCTGCTTTCTCTCTTATCATTCCAACCTAATATTTGAGTTTCTGACACGTGTAAGGTACTAGTTGGTTATAGGATGCTTTAACATTGAGATTATTTCCCTACATTTCTGGTAAAAATATAAAGCAGGCTAAGTAATGGACAACTGCCCCAAATTTTCAAAATAATGCCTATCCATTTATTTCTAGACTTCTCCAACTGCTAGATTGTTTATAAGCCAACGGCTGATAAACTCAATGCTCTTGTAGTTTGCAAAAATTAAACCAATTCACTATTATAATAGATGGTAATTTGCTGCCATATTATACCAACTAATTTGACAATTTAAATGTTTAAAGGCACCATCCATTATCATTCCATGTATGCTGCATTGTGAAACATAAAGTTGTATTAAGAGAAACCAATTTTTTTTTGTTATCAGTAAGCACCACAATATTGCTATAATATAGTGTAGAGACTAAGTGCTCAACTCTAGATCTAGAATGCCTCATTTTGAATCTTAGCTAAGTAGGGCCTTTATCTGTGACTCAGTTGCTTCCTCTATGAAAGGGGGATACTAATGTACCTATTTCATAGGCTAGAGTCCCTGAGTGGTGCAACTGGTTAACCTCTCAGCTACTAACTTAATGACTGGAAGAGGTTCCAGTCCACCCAAAGGTGCCACAGAAGAAAGTCCTGGTGACCAACTTCAGAAAAATCAGCCATTTAAAACCTTACAGAGAATAATTCTACTCTGACACACATGGGCTCAACATAAGCCAAAATCAATTAACGGCAACTGGGATTTGGTACTTCATAGGTTATTATGAGGAATAAATGAGTAAATATGTGTAAAGTACATAGCATGGCACTGTGTGGCATATACTAAACTTCCCATAAATGTTAGCTATTACGGTATAGGGTTGCTATAAGCTAGAAATGACTCAATGACAACGGGTTTATTACTATAATCATTCCTACTTTGTTCTGTATTACTTATCTCAATTTATAGTTCCACTATCCACCCAGTTGCCTAAGGCATAACCCTGAAATTCAAGCACTGTTTCTCATATCTCAGCTCTGCACTATCTCCCCATTGTCTCTCCATATGCAACCATTTGCTAATCTCCTAAATAACTCTTTCACCACTACAATCATTAAATACAGAATCCCTAGGTGGCATACACAGTTAAGTACCTTGCTGCTAACTGAAAGGTTGGTGGTTCAAGCCCACCCAGAGGTGCCTCAGAAGAAAGGTCTGGCAATTTATTTCCGAAAGGTCACAGCCTGAAGACCCTATGAAGACTAGTTCTACTCTGCCACACAGGGAGTCATCATGAATCAGAACTGACTCACTGGCAATTAGTATATTGTTATCATTAATATAGCAGTTAGACACTCATCATTTCTTGCCAAATATACTCATCTCCCTACTTTTAAGTTAGCACCTATGTTTCCGACTATCTTATTGCCGCTTAAAGCCTTTTATGGGCTTTCTCACTGTCTAAACCCCTTAATGATATCTAGAGCCATGCATTACCTGATCTTTGACAAAAATCTCAAAGTGTATCTCTCATCCCTCACACTGTGTATTAATACTTTAGTTACAGTGTGCTGCCCAGCATATCCAATATCACTTCATACCTATCTTTGGTCATTCCACAGGTGCCATACCTTTTCATACTGCATACCTTTGTTCATAATGGATAATCTTTCCTACTCTTCTTCCCCAGGCTAAGAATACTATACTTAAAGCTTATTTTATTAGAAATCTTCTCTGAACCTGAGGTTCCCAAAGAACCTTCCATTTCTAAGTAATATGTTGTAATAAATTATATATTTTTTTCTGTTGTCCTCTACCTCCTAGGAAGCTCCTTGAGGCTAAGAAACTCTAAATCATATTTGTCTATCAGTGTTTAGCATATGGTCTGAAACAAACTAAATGTTCAGTAACACTTGTTTAAAAGATAGGGTTGCTATGAGTCAAAAATGGACTTGTTGGCACTTAACAACTGAAATCATAGATAAGTAAGTACATAGGCTTGGTTGCCTAATAGTACAATCAGTGCCACAACAAGCATCAGTGCCACCTTCTCTAATTATCAACAAGATTTGTCATTGGATGATGAAATCTAGAAAAGTATTTACTCTACAAACAAGATTATAAGAAAAAATAGGGTAAGAAACTGCTTCTAGATATGCACCAAGAGTATTAAAAAAAATCTGCCCACCAAAACCCAGAAAAATCCTCATGACCTTGATCTGCAACTAGAAAGCTCAAGTCAAATATGTAATAATCTCTAGCAAGTATACCTATAGCCTCAACCCTTGCTCATTCCATTTTTTTTTTTTTTTAACCTTACATTCACCTTGCCAGCATATGGTAGTTAAGGTTATATGTCAACTTGGCTGGGCCTGGTTTTGAGTGGCTGGGCAGCTGGTGGTAGTTATTCCCCATGATGAGACTGACAATCTACTTCATGGTGGAATCTGCCACAAGCAGCTGAGTAGCTGCTTTAGGGATGTGGTCTGCTTCCTGTATATAAGGAGAAGCTTTGGGAATGGTATACAACTTTTTGGCACGTTGGGCCCCTGCATGGAGGTGAGTCATCATTCAGCAGCCTTCCACAATCTGCCAATCTTGGGACTTTTAATATACTTGAATTAATGGCCTGCCATGTGATTTGGTAATATCAGGACTGTTACCTGTTGACCTTGGGCTTGTCAACCTCAGCAGCCAGCAGCTGCCTGAGTGAAGAAAAGCCTCCAGCTTTAGTGGGCTGGGAGCAGGAGGCAGACCCAGCCCCTAGAGCCCAGCACTTTGAACTCAGACTTCTAGCCTCCAAAATTGTAAGAGAATAAACTCCTGTTTGTTAAAGCCATTTTACCTGTTGTGTTTCTGTTAGAGTGGCACAAAGTAACCAAAACACAGCAATTTCCTTATTTCTTAACACAAACACATACTTGCTTTTATATAATTATTAATGTTTTATACATATGTATTTTTTGTTGTTAGGTGCCGTTAACTCAGTTCCAACTCATAACCATATGTACAACAGAATAAAACAATGTTCAGTCTTGCATCACCCTCAAAACTGTTGATGTGCCCACTGTTGTAGCCATTACATCTATCCAGCTCATTGAGGTTCTTGCCCTTTGTTGCTGACCTTCTAATTTATCAAGCATGTTATCCTCTTCCGGGAACTGGTCCCTCCTGATAACATGACCAAAGTACAAGAGATAAAGTCTGGCCATTCTCATTTCTAAGGAGAATTCCAGCTGTACTACCTCGAAGACAGATTTGTTCATTCTTCTAGCAGTCCATGGTACATTCAATATTCTTCACCAACACAGTTCAAATACATGAATTCTTTTTTGGTCTTCCTTAAGTCATTATCCAGCTCTTACATGCATATAAGGCTACTGAAAATGTAACAGCATAACTCAGACACACCTTAGTCTTCAAAGTGATACCTTCGATCTTAAACACTTTAAAGAGGTCTTTTGCTGAAGATTTGCCCAATGCAATACATCATTTGATTTCCTGACTGCTGCTTCCATGGGTGTTGATCGCGGATACAAGTAAAGTGAAATCCTTAACAACTGTGACCTTTTTCTCCATTTATCGTGGTATTGCTCATTAGTCCCATTGTGAGTATGTTTGTTTTATGTTGAGATGTAATCCATACTGAAGGCTATAGTCTTTGATCTTCATCAGCAAATGCTTCAAGTCTTATTCGCTTTCAGCAAGCAAGGCTGTGTCATCTGCATATTGCAAGATGTTAATGAGTCTGCCTCTAATCCTGATGCCACTTTCTTCCTCATTTAGTTCAAAGTCTCAGATTATTTGCTCAGCACACAGATTGAGTAAGTATGCTGAAAGGATACAATCCTGACAACATCCTTTCTAATTTTAAACCATGTAGTATCCCCTTGTTCCGTTCACACCACTGCCTCTTGATCTATACACAGCTTCTGCGTGAGCACAACGAAGTCTTCTGGAATTCCCATTTTTCACAATGTTATCCATAATTTGGTAGGATCCACAGACAAATGCCTGTGCACAGTCAACAAAGCACAGATAAAAATCTTTCTGGTATTCTCTGCTTTCAGCCAAGATCCACCTAGCATGAGCAATGATATTTCTCATTTCATGTCTTCTTCTGAAACCAGCTTGAATTTCTGGCAGTTCCCTGTCAATGTACTGCTACAACCATTTTTAAATAATTTTCAATTTTACTAATTCATCAAAGTATTACTTGTGATATTAATGATAATGTTCAATAATTTCTATATTCTGTTGAACCATCTTTCA